TCCTTGCCCATTGGGATATTACCATTGTAGAAAGCCTAAGCGTTTCGCTCCAACATTGTCAGAGGATTAGCCCTGACTGTTGTGTAGGCATTTCCTTCTATTTGACAGTTTGGTATTTCTTTAAATGCTTTGTGTCCATTCATGAGGGCGATGGTTTCATTTGAAATGCTGCAGTCACTCAGGGAGAAGCTCCTCGGCTCTTCCCTGATAGGCCAGGCATCCCTCTGCCTCCTGTTGCTATGGTGCCCAGCAGAGTAACTTCCTTGCCCTGCACATGGAGGAGGTTCTGTCTCCATGGATACCCCACTCTGAGACTGTACTCCATGGAGAGATGAGCTGCTCACACTGTATTTCTGCACAAGACATACCCCAGCCTGTGGCGGGAGGCTGTTTGCAGAGGAGTGTTTGCCATGAAAGTCTACGGAGCTAACCTTCTAAGTAAGTAGCATTAGTCACAGTAAGTAAATAATTCTCTCGAATCACAGAGGGTATGCTCTTTGTGTATGGATGCGGGTGTAAAGTTAGTTGTGGCAGGCTAAAAATGTAGACTGAAAACACATTTTCAACTCTGCCTCTCAGATATTCCGAATGCAAAGTCTATAACTAAACTTTGTAAACACACACACACATCTATTGTTTTAAATACCCCTTGTCACCTGTGAGTCTGTGCAATTTAAAGCCAAAACGAGAAAAATTGACCGTGGACTTTTACATTTTAGAATGCTCATCTAACTCTGAGCGTTGCGTGCTGCGTTTGTAAATGCAAAGCCTGGCCTTTACTCAGTCCTGTGCTATGGGAATAGATGAGCGCAACCACAATTAATGCTAATTGGCACTGTGCAGAGTTGCAATGGGCCTCTGTGTAGGCCGAGACGCGATGTATTTATTATCAAGAGAGAGCTTGCTCATGTGCTCATGTCTGCCGGTTCATGGAAATTATTCAGAGCACATCTCTGACCAGTTTTAATTTACTTTTCTCACGTGGCATCGAGTAGAAATTCTGAAACTCTTCATGTTCATGGAATTGGGATGTGGAAGAGTGTTCTTTTTTTTTTATTAACTGATTTGATCTAACACTTCCTCTTTACTCTACATTCCAAGAACATACGGGTTGGGTTTGCAATGTTGTAAAACATATGAGTCATCTTAAAGCGATTTTCATCTGGTGGGCAAATGATTAATGCCTGTGGTATTGAAATTAATTAGTGGAAACAAAGAAAGACTATACATATGGAAAGCCTAACTGTAGTTCAATAGCTTTGAAATTGTGTGAAATTTAGATTTTTAGACTATTCACAGTCGATAGCATCAGGCATCTCTAAACAAAAAGCACAACACGTGTTATGTGGAATAAGAGAGATTCAGTTTCATTCACATATAAGAGTGAGCACAGAATATCATGCTAGATTGTAAGTTTCTCTTATTTTTCTATACTTATGACTGACCATTCAGCAAAGGACAACTGTTAGTCATGCCTCAATTTTAACTGCCCAAAATGGTGAAAAGGTACCACCCTTTTAGAATGTGAAATGGACTGTGTGACTAGTCTGCATCTGACTTCGTCATTGCCTCAATATTTTATAAATATAATTTCCAACTTTCAAAGGAACAACAGACAAATAAGGGGCATGATGAACTCTGTTGTGATCATGGTTTTGGAGACATGGAAACAATGTTGATGACACTTTTCCCAGTGTTTTTCAGCCAACTGGTAGCGTAAGGCCCCATTTCCCCATCTCGATATGTCTGCGATAAATTCTCCTGCCCATCTCTGCAAACCAGCATAATGTAGGATTTTTTTCAACCTCAAAATGGGTGAATCCCCTCTCTAAAACTGTTTTCTCATCGGTAGAGTGGAATAATAATGGTACCTACGACATAAGGCTGTTTTGAAAATTCAGCGATATAATCAATGGCACATGGCAAACAATCAATACTAGCTGTTGTATTACAGTTCCTGGGAGCATCATCGGCACCATTTTTGTGATGCTCTGTAGTTAAGGAAGGCTACAGCTCAGAGCCTGCACAGTTCTTCAGTTAGGTTCCATTCAGCCTATCAAATTTTCTATCAAATATTTACTACTAAGAACCTAACTATGTGCTTGGTATTCTGATGGGAATTATGGCATTCAGCATACATAATGATGTGCCTAACAAAATGTGAGATGTATGTAATAGTTTTCTCTTTTCCAATGCATGCCTTTCTTTTTTTTGTTAAATGGTTACACATACATATAATCAAATGTTTACCCATTCATTTTGCTGCCACTAATGGATATGGTGGCATTCCACAATGGATATGGTAGATAAAAGGGATTAAGCCGTAGCATAAATAGTTAATATTTATAATAAATTAAAAATGTGATGACAGTTAAAAATCTAGGTTCAAAGTTTAAGCTCACTTCCTTTCCTGAAAGGATTTCCGTTCAGAGTGCAGCAAATGACATACTTTGAAAAGAGACCAGTTTCATTAAGTTGAAAGTTTGGGGAGTGATGGGAGAGGAAATGATTGATTAATCTGTATAAAAATAGGCCCCATGCTGGGATTTTTCCTTTTGCACTAATCCTGTGTGACATCTGAGCCAAAAAAAAAAAAATATATATATATATATATATATATATATATATATAAAGCCCTATGCGCAGAGCCTGCTGGTGCTGATTTTAAAAACACATGAGGAGTTGACCTAAATTACATTTTGCAACTTTATTTTTATTTTTATGTCATTTTCATTTTCCATTTCTTCTTTCTGGCATATCCTCTCTTTCCATCTGTTTGCCCTGGAAAGAACGTGGCGTGTGGAACAAGGACTATACCAATTCACTTGAATGGAAAAAAGGGGAAGACATTTTTACGATGTGATTTAAAATGAGCTCTCTGGAGTCTGGGAACTTGGGAATCAACGTATGTCCAAATAGATAGCTAAATATATTATGCTAAACACAATTTCATATGCAGTATCACTCAGATAACGTTGCTAGAATAAGCCTTTTGTTGTAATGCTTCAAGGCAAACAGTAAATCCATAGCAACATCCCCGCTAACATGGTGACCTTTTATCTGTCCCGTGCTGGTCTGTGACAAAAACAATGCCCCACTTTCTTTTCCATTGTTATCGGTCATATAGTCCCATGCTCTGTGATGCACAGTTTGTTGAGTGTTCGGGAGGTACTTGGTGCTGCAGGCATGAGTCGTGGGTCCCATCCTTTTGTTGACCTCTGAGGAGCATTTTGAGCTCCCGGTTCTGTTTGCTGAGTCCTTTTTCAGCAGAGGGAGTTGGTGGTGGTTTCAGAGAGCGGGATGCTTCCTTGGCTGGTGGGGCAGCAACACTGTTCAGGGAAACTGGATCTTCCTGAGTGTTTGGCTTCTTGTACTCACCCCTGTGGCTGAGATAGGCAGGCTCTGCAAGCCCCTGCCAGCAAGATCTGATTTCTGCCGGGACTGTGGGCGGGCTTGACTGTTCTTGAGAGATGAAGGCTGTGCCTGAACCTGATACAGCCCTGACATCCAATGCTTTCCCCCTCAGTTAAGGGAAGAAGGGAAGGATCCAGGCCACAGGCTGAGGAGCTCTAGGGCATACAGAGCAGTGGGTTAGGATCTGTAGGTGTCGTACCCTGCCAAGCCTCGCTTACCAGGGATCGTAAAGCAGTTTTGTCTGTATGAAGCTGGGGCATTCTTGAATTTTCCATGGGAGTCTCCAACTTCTCATTTCCACCCTTCCCTTTTCGCTTCAGTCTCAGCCACCACTTAACAGAACTGAACCAGTAATGCCACTCATTTGTTTTTTCAACAAGTAGTTATTGATAAGCCAGGAAGTGAGCCAGGTACTGGAATGTAACAGTAAACATGGTGCCCCCTGTAACAAGTGTAACATGTTCCCGGGGGAAGTGCAGGGTCCCATGAGTGCGCAGAGGAGGACTGTGGAACCCAGACTTTGGGAGTCTGGAAGGCATGGGGTTGGGGGGCAGGAAACTGTACTGACACTTACAAAGGGTTAAACCAAGCTCTTAAATGCAAAGACACTTTGGTATCTGAATTTCACATGCCATTGCTGTTAATTTAAATACTATATACTCCCTTAGAGTTTTTAAATTTCTATTGTTATGGTTATGTTATGTTGTACTTAATAATTATTTTTTAGATGGCTCTTTCTTCTGCTGGGGTGTGAGCCTTTCTAGAACATGGACGATGTTTTCTTTCTTTCCTTATTATTTTATTATCTTTTATTTAAATTCATTTTAGCTGCTTCCCTATTTCTTTTCAATATTATGTATACAATGTGATGCATACAAGAATATATTACACACATGTAAGCCGTTCACTATAATAATAATAAGGCAAATATTTGTGATCCACCTTCCACTTTTATAATTACCACCCCCAAAGCTGCCTGGGTGATCTCCCACATCCCATTCTCTGCCTCCCCCAGAGGTGACCGCTATATTGAAATGGGTTTTGTCATTTCCTTGCACTTTAAAAACAATCTTCCTTACCATCTTAAGTATGTGTCCCTAAAAATATGTTGGAGACACAAGGGTAAAGTTTAAAAGTCCTGGAGCCATGTTTTCTTTGCTTTTATGGTCTCCATAATTAGCACAGTGCCTAGAACTTAGTCCTCCCTAGATGTTTGTGAATGAATGGATATGCCCCAGAGCCCAGAGGATATTCCTGTGGTGCTATAGGTCAGGGAGATACCGGAATTCAACTTTCGTGAGCTTGTTCCTTTTGAGCCTTGTTAGTTTTACCTCTTTGGGGTGCTTATAGATACAGACTACAGAAATTGATTACATACTAATTTAATTGTTTGGGGATGTTTTCAGACTACCATTTCCTACTTATCATACACTCCGTTTTACCAGCAAGCAGTTATTCTCCAGTGGTTCCAAAGAGAGTGGCCTCAGTATTTTTGTTAACAGTCTGCTTTGCTTTTCCATTCCATTTTGGTTTTTCAAAGAACATTGTGGGGTGAGGAGGAAAGGGATGGAGAGAAGAGAGAACACTGAGTACACTTGAATTTAAAAGTTAACTTGTGGAGGGCTGGGGGTGGGGCAGAATAGCAGGGCAAGCAAAGTGTTGGCCTGGGAATGTCTGTTCCGTGCCAGATGTCACATTGAGTTGAGATCCTGGGGAAGGTTCCATTAAACAAGTCCATGGAAATTCAGAACATAATTTGTGTGCAGAGCATAATCTAATTGTGAGTGCGCTTCATTCTTTTTAAGTACTAAAAAAACACACAAGAATCAGTACAGAACTTTCTCAGGGGGACGTTCAAAAGCATTTTGTTCAGAGGCTTGAAAGTGCAGATCATTTTTAACTGATAAACAATGGTGCGAGGTGAAATGCTGGAGCTTGTGGCTGGAAGCTGAGCTGGTTTGCAGAATGCCTTGTCTCTCTCCCCAACCTGCACCCAGCTCTGAAAGGTCACAGTGGGAGCACTGCCTCCCAAGATGAAGTCCCCTCCGCAGGGCAGGTTCTCGGCTCAGCAGGGGCCTTGGACAGCCCTCTCTGGGCGAAGCGTGGGAGCTACCCACCTGCTCTGCACCTGCTCTCCTCCAAGTCAGTCTCCTGATCCAGAATTCCCTCTGTTGTGCTGCCAGGCTTCCTCCTGGAAACATTTCCATGTGACATTATTACTCCCTCTGCCCGAGTCTCACTGTAGTTCCTTGAACACATGTCTGAATTAAAACAAACCCCCCATTTGCTTCTGTTTCACCACTGTGCAGATGCCAGGAATGGCCAGAATTTACCCAGTTTATTTGTTCTATTTTACTGACATGCGTGCTTGCAAATAAAATGTATTTGCATTAAAGATTGATTGCACAGTGCTAGATTAAAATCTAGCGTTGGTCTTGGAGCATCTCAATCCATTCTGATTAGATTCTTTAATTTTTCACATAGTCCTCAGGCAATATGAGAGACTTCTTTTTCCCTTTCATTTGACTGAGATAATTCCTATTTGATTTGTTTTTCCACTCTGTGCAGAAAACATACATATCTTCATTCACTTGTTCTCTTATGTCAGTAATACTGCAGTCAAGCACGGAACACAAGGTGAAAGTGCTTGTTAACATTTCATTTACTTTCTATTTTTCCTCTTTTAAATTGTTCTATATTCACCTGGAGTTTTAAATGATTTTGACCCAGTGCAGTTAATTTTCTGGACCTCAGAACTCGGTTTGGAACTAGAAAGTGTCTCCGCCGCCCGGGCTCTCTCCCCACTCACCGTATGACCCACCTCCTACCTATAATAGTCACCTGCTCTACCACAATAGCCACATAAAACATCGCTGTGTTCATATCAACACCCCATTCCAAACTCCTCATGCCTCCCTCTTGCCTTCAGAGTAAGTGCCCTTGGCAGAGTGTTCACATTCTTCTGCCATCCAGGTACAGTTCACCTTTGTGGCTGCTTTATCTCATCTGATCACTGTACTCCTGCCGAACAAGGGGTTCAGTATATTCTGAATATTCCTTGTGTTTTCCTCCCTCCATGTTTCAGTTCACACCATCCCTTTCACCTGAGGTCTGCTCCTTCTGCAGCTCCTTCTTCATATTCTGCCCAGAGTAGCCTCTCGTCCATGACATATCCCCTCCCCGCTTCCCCTCGGCCTCGCTGGGAGTATGTCTTCTTCCTCTGTGTTCCCTCTGGACCCCTCTGTCTGTTTTGCACTCATCGTGTCCTCTCACATCCTAGTTGTTTGTCTGTGGAGCTCATCACCTGAAAGGATCTTTGAGCAGTGGACTTCTCCTTCTCCAGGCCCTCCTCCCCAGCACCACCCCCAGGGCCTTAGCAGGTGCAAGGTTTATCGCATATTCAAAATGGACTAAATTGAATGTTATCATCTTGGTTTCCCGTTCTTAGATCTTTGGGAATTCAAGCAGAGAGGGTGACAAAGAAAGCAGACTCTGGAGTCAGACAAGCCAGCTCTGCTGTTCGCTAGCTCACGGCTTGGGGCAAATCTCATCACGCTCAGGACAGTTTCCTTGTCGACACCCTGTGTTTTTGAGAGGAAGAATTCAACGAAATAGCAGACATAGAGTTTTTAACACATGCTGCTTTTGGCAAATAGCCGCTCGTAACGTTAGTATCCAACTCTGTCCTTTGTTGTATTAGTTATCCCTTCAAGGCCCGTGGAATCCGTAGTCTGCCGTCAGTGCCATACCTTTCATGTTTTCATTCATGTCATTAATAAAGCATGTTAAGTAGGTTAAGGACAAGGACGGAGTCAGGTGACACATTACTGGAGATTTCCCTCGAGGTTGACAGGCAATCCATTAGTCAACATCCTCTGGGTGCTGGACTGTGCCATCATCCAGTGTGCATGTCAGCCTTGTTCGTAAGACTCTGAGTGTTTGACGACATGCCTACCGAATTCCACATCTGTGATTCATGTGGCAGCCTGCAATCCTAACTCTGTCAGGAAAGGAAGAGAGAACTATTTTTCGTACCTGGTTCTTCATGAACTCTTGCTGGCTCCTACTTGCCCCTACGGTTTTACTGCAGATCAACACCAAACTTGGCAGTTTGTGATTTTCAGAATTTATCTTTTTCTCTGCTTTGAATCACGTGTATACTTTTTGTCCATCTCCAACCTGCTACTTCTCTTCCTTTGCAATTTCTCAAAAATTAGTGAGGTTATTTCCACAGTCAAATCTACAAGTTTTTTCAGTACCTTTTTTCTCCTCGTTCAGTAAATGCTCTTCTGAGCCTACATACATGTCAGGCACTGTGCTTGGCCTTGAGGAGACAGGGATGAATAAGACAAAGGTCTTTCCAGGCTGCATGATTTTTGCATACCAAGTTTTGGGCTGAAAACTTGGGTTTTAAGAGATTTGGGCATGTGGGATGGAGATAGGATTGGAGGGAATATTTTGCCTACTTGTAAATAATACTAGTCCCATCAATCCAACTGAAGGGAGAGAAAGAGGAAGGTAACTCAGAGAGCCTTTCCAGGAACCATTGCTGAATGACAAGAGTGGAGGACCTTTAATAGTGTGAATTCTGTCAAGGCTACTGCACCTACTGTGTGCTAAAGGCTGTATTAGACACTGGGATACAAGGATGAACAAGCCCTCAAGAAGATGACGCCGTGCTGGGAAATAGCAAGCAGGCATCGCACTGCAATGTGATGAATGCTTCTTAAATTCTGGGTAGGGTGAGGAGCATAAAGGAGGGGCACCTAATTCTCTTCCCGAAGCAATTAAAGGTCAAGGCTGGAGACCTGAAAAACAGGTACTAGTTAGCCAGGCCCAGAGGGACAGGAGAACAATCCAGGTAGAGGGAGTCTGCAGAGTGTTGGGCTGCCTTCAGGAAATGGTGGTGTTTGCACCGGGGCGGGGGGGATGCAGTGGCAGCTGAAGAGATTCTGAAGGGCTTGTAAATCATGCCGGGGAGTTTGGACTTGATCTTAAGGATGTGGGGTGCCATTAGAGGGTTTCAACAGGGAAGTCACCTAATGAGATTTATGCTCTGGAGCATTGTGGAAGATGGAGTGCTCAGGGCCATGCCGAGCAGCTGGGACACGGTGTGGGGCTGTTTCAGTTAATTCCGGGCGAGAAATGCTGATGGCCTGGTGTGGAGCCTTCCGGACGGGAAGAAGGAGACAGAGCGCGGAGTTACTAAACAGCTCTGAGCAGATGGCTTGCAGTTTATAGTTAAATATCAAAAACAAGAGCCATTTATGATCGTGCTTTTCATACTTTAGTGTGTGTAAAAGATCACCTGCGGACAGTTTGAAAAACCTGTTTTTCAGGTCTCCAGCCTTGACCTGACATCATTATGGAAATGATGTGAAGAAATTTCAGCCCGCAAGTGTATTTCCAGTAAATAGCCTAGGTGCCACGGTTGCAGGTGTCCTCAGACCACACCACGAAAAACCCCTTCCTGTTAGATGTTTTCAAATGGCAATACTTCTTTTAAGTGCATTCACATTATGTTCACTTTTCATTTAAGAATGAAGATTCAGTCCTGTTATCTCTGTTGAAAATACATGAATGGCTCCACCCCAAGGGTTAATGTGCTGGAAAAAAATAAAAAAAGAGCAGTCTCCTTGCTAGTGTGGTCTGTGTTCACTAATTGTTTGCTCTCTGTAAGGGATGCAGAGCAGAGCAGAATGGTGATAATCTTGTTAAAACCTCTGCTGCAGATTGCTTGTAAATGAATTTTCAAAGGTTTCAGCATGCCCTTTGCAAGAGTAAGCAAGCAAGCATTTATGGAGAAAACCATAGTTCCCCCAATTCTTGAAGTTCCTTGCAGGTGTGCATTCTTAGTGTTTAAGGCATATTTTGATGCATTTATTATTGTGATATTTCTCAAGCCAGTATGCCTGGTTTCAAATCCCAGCTGCACCGTTTATGAGCTGTGTGACCACAAGCAAGTTACCTGTGCTTTCCTTCTCTCATCTGTAAAATGAGAATAAAACTGTACCTGTCTCATGGGCTTGCTGTGAGAATTAAATAAGAATGCATGTAGGGCACCTGGGTGGCTCAGTCGGTTAAGCGGCTGCCTTCGGCTCAGGTCATGATCCTGGAGTCCCAGGATCGAGTCCCGCATCGGGCTCCCTGCTCGGCGGGGAGTCTGCTTCTCCCTCTGACCCTCACCCCTCTCATGTGCTCTCTCATTCTCTCTCTCAAATAAATAAATAAAATCTTAAAAAAAAAAAAAAAAGAATGCATGTAAACTACTTTGCACAGCATGTGAACTTAGTAGGCCATTTCTGACCATTTCTGACAGGAGCCCAGTAGTCTATAAAAACCTTATGTCACCTGTATTAGAAGTTAGTCATGTAATAAACACTTTGTCTTCTTATTTGTCATGGTACTTTAAAAACCAACACATCTATAGTGCCCATATGCAAGAATTCTTAGAGCAGCATAAGTGTTCAGCAGTACATACCAAACACATGGATAAGTAGGCCAATCACAACAATGACGAGTATTTCTTGTGCACTTAGTCTTTCCCAGTCGGTCCTTTAATTCTCACAGCGATCCCATCAGCGAGGCTTGCTCAATCCCTTCTTGGAGTGAGGAACTCAGGTGCAGAGAGATTAAGGGATTGCCTGCAGTCATGTTGTCATTAAAGAAAAAGATCCGCTATTTGAACTCAGAAGCTGCCAATGCCAGACCCTGTTCTTACCCACCGCTCGGAGATATGGTATTGTCAGTTATGTGAAGCATGGTTAGGAACATTCATTTGTATGCCAAGTAAATTAAGAAATTGACTCATCTTGAATGTGAAATGTGTGGAAGTGATTCCCGAAATGTGTACGGTGGTATTGTACAGCTCTGTTTTAAGTCACAGTCAAGCCCGGTGCTCTGTTTCTCCGAAGTAGCCATGCAGGTATTATACTGGGTACTCTGGGAGGGATCTCGGTCGGGGGGGCTCTTAGAGCAGTGCTTCTCCAACCTGAGTGTACAGATACCTCAAGGGCTTGTTAAAAACCCAGATTACTGGGCTCCACCCCTGCCTCAGAGTTGCTGACTCAATGGGTCTGGGGTGTGGTCTGAGAATCTGCATTCCTAACAAGGTCCCAGGTGACGCCGATGCTGCTGATTTGGGACCACACTTTGAGAATCACCATGTTAGAGGAATGAGATGATTGGTGAATTTGGGAGCAGAGGGTGGTTTAAAATCTACCCCTATAATTGCCTGACCTGCTTCACAGACCTAGTTACTAACTTCACAAAGACACTTGGAAGTGCCAAATCTTCAGCTCTACCATGGAGATACTTAGATGAAAATCAAAAGATAGAAATCTTTACTTTAGCCTTAACATTTCCGAAGCAGGGCGGTGGCTTTCTGATTTAGAAACTCCTACACAGTCTCTTCCCCTTCTCCAAAACAGTGGGGTCTTTTAAAAACCCAGGTATTTCCCTTACCTATGGCTCAAACCCAGCATTTGGCTTTAGAACTAGGTACTTGACCAAGTTCTGGGCTGCGTCAAGGAAGCCCCTTGTGTCCATTACTCCCCACCCTGGAGCAAGAATTTTCTCCCTAGTGAGGTTATATTCATAAAATATGGGCCAGCTTCCCATGTTCATGGGCTGGTCTCATTGTTGAGGCTAAGGGGCAAGGTCATGGAGTAACTTAAGCAAAACCCAAAATATCAGAATGACCCAAGAATGAAGGATCACCTTAGGCATGTTGGATCCTAAAACTGGGATAGGATAAAGCAGAGATTCTCTTTTGATTCTCCATGACAATGAGAGGGAAAGGTATGGAAAGACAAATGATCCGTAGAGCATTTCTTTTTGTCTGTGGAATATATTACCTAAAAGTGGATTTACTCCTTTGCTTTTTTCCCCTAAGGAGACTTGTGCCTCTGGAAATACAAATAGTTGCTTATCAGAATGGAAACTCTGGCTCGATGAGTAACTGGAATAAACCCAGTTCATTTTCCATCATCAGGAGAATGAAGAAATAAATTATGCATTAAGTCATACAAGGGAATATTATATAGCAGTCAAATGAATGCACTTCAGATACGTGGAGAATCTTAGCAAAATGATTTTGAATGTAAATCATCCCAAAAGATTATAGATATCATGGTAGCCTGCTTATTAAAAAATGAAAGACAAAACAGAAAAAAAAGAATCTACTTTTTAGGAATACTTATAGATGTGAACATTCTTCATAAAAATGAAAGCAAGGAAATGGTAAACAGAATAGAATGAGGAGGTAGATATTAGTGTCGACGTTTTCGTTTTTGTAATGGGTAGTGGTTTCTTCATTTACTCTATGCTTAAATGTAAGGAAATAAACAAAAGCATAAGTACAATAAATAAATCCGAAATAAACATGACTACTGGCTCATACAAACCAGTCAGTTAAGAACTAAAATAAAGGTAGTCTTGCATGGACCAACGATGAGAGTGTGTCAAGAACCAAGGAATTTGATTAATCCAATTCAGTGCACCTGTGACTCATAGATTTTCTGCAGAGAAAATAATGAAAAGTGACTCTCTGGGCCCCTGCTTGGTTCCCACACAGCAGTGTGACCTGAAGTCTTTGCCACTTTTCCCAGCTCTCATCTCCATTGGTCCAGTTGGTTCTTTATACACGAAGATCACTGAGGGAGGGTATCAGTAGGCCGCTGAAGATCGCAGCAGAGTCACTTCAGAAGAAACCATGGCTGTGGTATCCCTGGGGTAGGAAAAACGTGTGGTTCCTCTTCTCTGATCTCCACCTCTCTGAGGAAGGGAACATGTTGACATGTTTTCTCAGAGAAGCTAAGGTAGGAATTTTAGAAAATAAAAAAGGCTGTGTCCAGTATGAGAAACTTGTTGCTAGACACAAACTTTGGGGCCCGTGGCTTAGAGGGATGTTCGACTAGGGGAGCCTAGGTGGCGCAGTCGGGCAAGTGTTGGATCTTGATTTCCGCTCAGGTCGTGATCTCAGGTCATGAGATCGAGTCCCAAGTCAGGCTCCACACTCAGCGGGGAGTCTGCATGAGACTCTATCTCCCTCTTCCTCTGCCCCTCCCCCTATGCTCACGTTCTCTCTCTCTCTCAAATAAAAAAATAAAAAAGAAAAGGAAGTGCGATTAACTGGCCCCTGAGCTGCCTTCATTGCCTCATTCCCTGCTGTCACTTCTCCCTCCCTGGACGACTGTCTCCACTGCTCCTCGTCTACGGGCTTGAATAGTCATGGGTAGTTTTGAAAGCTAGCTAGTTCTGTGAGCCTCTTCCATGGAATCTTAATCCTTCCAACAGGAAATAATATTTCCCTTTGTTGATGTCTTTTAGAACCCAAGTTTTGTACGCCCCCCCTCCAAGGCATTTGCCCCTTTCTCATGGCAGGATCAGTATCTCAACTGGACATCTGCTAGGGGTGCAAGGAGCTTCGGGGCATTCAAATAGGAACAGATGAAATCTTGCCCTTGTGGAACTTGTCTTCCACTGTGTATGTGGCCCACAGCCTCTATGAGAAGGTCCGGTATGAGAAGCTCTCTATGATGTAGTGTGCTTCATTCAGGCTTTCCTGTGAAATAGGAGAGTTCAGTCAACATAGCCCAGAGCTGAGGATTTACTCGTTAATTTATAATCTCAAGGGAGGAGGAAGAACCCTTACCACCCTCTCTCAGAACCATCTTCTATTTTCATGCTAGTTCTGTTGCTCACATCCCAGATGACAGCCTCTCCCTCGCTCCTCGTTCCTGCTCCAAGTCCTTTTCCCTGATTTTGGCCGCACATGTGTTGGGACCCAGAAGTGGTTCAGAGAGGGTGGTCATAAGAAGAAAAATAAAAATAAAGGCAGTATTTTAAAGTGTTAACTGAGTGCCAGGCACTACTTTTTCATATATTAACTTATATAATCTTTTCAACAACTCTATGAGATAGACACCATTATCTTTTCCCTTTTTTAGAAGAAAGCGAGGCACAGAGAGGTTATGTGCCTTTGCCAAGGTCACACAGCTGTAACCGAGGCTACTAAACATATCACCTCATAAAAAGCAAAGAGAAACAACTTCACAGAGATTGAAAATGTAAGAGAGAAACGGAGAGGGGATACATCATCCATGAACCAAGGGGAAAGGACATCAAGATATTAGAAGTGGAGCGTGGCTGAGTGCTGACAAGGTCCAGTGATGTAACTCCCTGGCAGATTGTTCCAGTACAGGAAAGGGGAAGGTCAGTGCTGCTGAGAAGGTCAAGGGAGCGGGTCCGAGTGCGAGACGCTGCTTCAGTGTAGATGTGGATTGTGGCACCCCAGTCGCCACAGCCCTGGGTGGGGGAGCCTGGGGGTGGAGAACACACGCCGTGTGGTGTGCACTGGAGGCTGGCACACAGGGTGGGGAGGACGAGGGGGGCAGCCAAGGCTGTTAGGTCTTCGAGTCAATTAGGAAAATGGTGCTTCTGACCGAAGTGAGGTTTAAAAAAAAACAAAACAAGGGGCCCCCGGGTGGCTCAGTCGGTTAAGCGTCCGACTCTTGATCTCAGGGTCCGGGGATCAAGCGCCCCGTTGGGTTCTGCGCTCAGCCTGGAGTCTGCTTGAGATTCTCTCCCTCTGCCCCTCCCACCGTTGAACTCTCTCCCTCTCTCTGTCTCTCTCAAATAAATAAACAAAATCTTAAAAAAAAAAAAAAAAAAAAAAAAAAAAACGAAAAACCATGCTGTTTTAGAGTATTGTTGCAGGTCTCTGCAGCAAGTAGTAGATTATGTCATCTCTTCCTAGCAAGTGGATGTTTTTGTTCCATTCGTGGTCTGGAACTGCCTGCAGACAACACCACTTCACTGGGAGTGGAAGATGAGGTGACTTCAAAAAAGACTCATCCTTTCCTTTTCTCTTACCCTCTGGACTTAAAGTCACAGACCTCAGGGCTAGCCCTGCTCTGACGTTTTAGTGTTGGCGGCTTGTCAGTCCCCATTTCTCTCTCCCACCACTTCATCACCTCCTTCCTCCCCTGTTAACTCCCACACAGTGACACCCCTGCTCTGATCCCACCCCGCCACCTCGAGGGCTGCTTTTCCCTGATTTAGGTTTTCCTGCCAGAAGCAGAGGGCAGGCACTTCATTTTGGTAAACACAGGATAAACACTTCTCCTTAAATAGAAATGGCAGGCTCTCCAGCTAGATTTTTTAAAGGGGCAGAAAGTCAATTCAGTTCAGTGAACTTGACAAGAAATTAAAGATAAGGAATATGTAAGAGTCTGGAAAATTCTTCAGGGAGGATTTGCTTTTGTTATTACCAGGCTCCCAAAACAATCAATTAGGATGAAGTTCACGGCCACGATGGATGTAACCCTCCCCAGACCTGTTCAGTGGGAGGCAACGGGAGACGGTTGTCCCTGAGCCCACCTGCCAAAGGGTGGGTGCTCAATGCTGATTCCGCGTGGGGGATGGTGCATGCCTATGTGGTTTGTTTGGTGCCGTTCAGCATGTCAGCCATGGAGATACATCGACCACACTGAAAGCAGCAAGTTAGGGCTGATGGGATAACTTAGATGGGGAGTGTGCTAGATTGTGAGGTGATTCTTTCCGCTGAATGGTATTTGACACCCCGGGCTTCAAATTGGTCAGGCCCCCCTCTTTATTTTTTTTTTAATATTTTTTAAGATTTAATTTATTTAAGAGGGAGAGCACAAGCTGGGGAGAAGGGCAGAGGGAGAGGGAGAAGGAGACTCCCTGCTGAGCAGAGAGCCCGACGTGGGGCTCCATCCCAGAACGTCAGGATCATGATCTGAGCCGAAGGCAGACGCTTAACCAGCTGAGCCACCCCGACGCCCCAGTCCCTCCTCTTTAAAACGGGATTATGAGGACTTCAAACCATGGACCAAATGCTAAGTATCCCACTAGCTTTACAAACAACATGTGTGCCCGAGTTTGGCGGGACCTGGGCCAGTTTTCAAACAACGTGTGTCTTCTCTATGTCCCTGTCTTCTCTATGTCCCTGTCTCCCCTTCCAATGCTTTGAAGATGGATTTAGCCCAGGAAGGGAGAGCTGTGAGGGGGCAAGCCACTCTGAAAGTTAGACTCTTCTCTTCTGAGTGCTTGGTCCTTGACAAAGGTGATGGCTGGTCCACCTCAACTTCTGCTCACTCACCTTCAACTTCCCGTTGACAAAAGTCCTTGCAATCTGACTGGACCTGGAGAAAGATTCCATGCGCTCTTTATCTTTGGCGCTCTCCTCCTTAGTGTGGTCTGTGACCACAGGCCACATAGTCATCTGTGGTAATTATTGAAAATGCAGATTCCTGGATTACCCCCACACCTTCTGAACTGGAATTTTTGTGAGCGTTACCCAGAAATCTGCACTAGTACTTAACTTTCCTGATGATCTTTAGGCACAGTAAGGCTTAGGAATCATTGCGTTGTTAATAATAATTATAAAATGAGTATTTATGAGCCGGTCAAGCACTTCCCAAGCATTTCACTTTTTATTTATTTCAACTTCACAACAACCCTCCAAGATAGGAACTGCTATCCACCTAGAGCGGGGCCTGACACATAACACATGGCAGATGCTCAATAAATTTTTGTTAAACAAATTAATCATTTAAATATATATATATATATATATACACACACACACATAACATATATACATGTACATACATATATACATAAATAAGAAAACTAAGGCTTAGCGAGGTTAAAATCACCTGGACAAGAACACATAGCTGCTGAGAGATGAAGCCAGAGTTTATAGTGCCTTCTTTAGGTAGAGCTTGTTGGTGTGTGACTTTGCAGGCTGGCGTCTCCTTCTGGTGATGCTGGGTAGTGCGTGGCAACAGTGATAGAAGATCCCAGAGGCACCTGATTGGCCTTGGGTTGAATTGACAGATCTCTTGTCTAGCGTTCTCTTCTTGGCCATCTCTGGTAAATTAACAGGGACACGTATTTATTTATTACTGCTCAAAAGAACAGGCCCAGGGAAGTTGGGTGGTCATTCACAAAACCAAACAGCACCCGTTGTCTTTCCTGTACTCTACTCAGGTTGGCCAATGCATAGTCTTAATTTTCCCTGGGGGTGATGCAAAGGGAGACTAGATGTATCCTGGGTTCCTGTCAGATACATTCACTTCCCCCTGCTTTCTTGAAGTTTCTTTATGCCTGCTTTATCATTTCTTTCATCTACTTTCTTGGTCGGCAGGTGTATTCCCTGTATTTCTACCAAGACAGGTAGTTGAGCCAGCCCAAGATAAAGGAGTGAACAGATGGAGATATCTTTGACCCTCTCAGTCCTCTTGGGCCTCCTCTCCCATGTTCCTTCCCTTCCTGTCTCAGACCTTCAAAGCTACCTGGCTCAGGGGAGTGTCCTTTGGTAAGAAGAGATTTTTGGAGGAGGCCGTGGAGAGTTTGTTTTAGGACCACAGATTTTTTTTAGACATAGTCTGTTGTACACACACACACACACACACACACAGAGTAAAAAATAGAAACATACTCTCCACTGACAAATGGCTGAAGGAAAACTCTTTTGTAAAGAGTGTTTGTAAAAATGTTTGACTTAGGATTGACTTGACGTAGGATAAGGCATTTTGTATTGTGGGGCTTTTTAAGGGAAGGATGTTTAAAAGCTCTCCTCTGGCCTTCAAGCCACTGTACCAGCAGTTCTAACTAGAAATTATAACAGCTAACATAGACTGAGTGCTTGCGATGTGCCAAGCACTGTTCTAACTTCTTTGCATGCTTCATCTAATTCCTGCCATCCCTTAACAATACTTACTATTAATATCTTCATCTCCATTTCACAGATATGGAAACTAAGGCAGAGGGAGGGTAAATAATTTGCCTAAGCCTTTACAGAGTTAGTAGAAGAGGCATGATTCAAACCCAAGTGATTGGACTCCAAAGCCCTCTTAATACTACATTAAATGATGTGATTGCTTTTACTATAAAATGCTTTTTCTTTAAAAAATTTAGATCTTTTTCAAAGAAAAAATCAATTGTCCATAATTTTAGTGTATCCTATTACTTTTTAATAAGAAGAGTAATATGCACATGGTTAGAAAAGCCAAATGGCTCAGAAAGATATAAAATGAAGATGAGAGTCTCTTTAGATCCCCACTGTCCCATTCCCAACGGAAACTACTATTAACAGATCTTTTTTTATCTCTCAATAAAAAGTGTCCTATGCATGGAGCCAGTTATATATTATTTAAAGATTTATTTATGAAGAAGCCGACATGCCACACCCCACTATTCTGCATCTTGTTTTTCTTTTTTTTTTTAAAGATTTTATTTATTTATTTGAGAGAGAGAATGAGATAGAGAGAGAGAGCATGAGAGGGGGGAGGGTCAGAGAGAGAAGCAGACTCCCTGCTGAGCAGGGAGCCCGACGCAGGACTCGATCCCGGGACTCCAGGATCACGACCCGAGCCAAAGGCAGTTGCCCAACCAACTGAGCCACCCAGGCGCCCCTGCATCTTGTTTTTCTTATCTAGCAACAGGGCTTCGAGATGTTTTCACTCCAGCACGTACAGGTTAATGTCACTCCTTGTCATGATAGGTATTCTCCTAGGTGGACTGTACCACCTGACTTCAGCAGTTGTCGTTGATGGGCATTTAGGTTGTTTGTTCGATGCTCATGTGCAGGAGAAATTTCTCCTCACACTCTTGCTGACTTTTATCAGAGTGTTTTTCTCAAACCTTCAACAGAACTAGTATTCTCAAACTTAGATTTTTAAATTTTTTGCCAATCTGGTAACTGAAAAAATCTCCTTGTTTACATTTACATTTTTAGTGCTATATATGAGATTGAATGGCTATTCATATGTATTGGTCATTTATTTTTCTTTATCTGCCTGTTCATGTCCTTTGCCCATTTTTCTGTTAGGTTTTTTTTTTTTTCTAATTTGTATGAGTTTTTGGTAAATTAAGGAGATTGGCCCTTTGTGTGTCATATGTTATAAATATTTTCTTTCAGTTTATTATTTTCTTTGACTGCTATTTTCCCATAAGCAGTTTTGCCGTTATGTAGTCAGATTTTTCAATACAAAACTGTTCTCCAAATACTTTAAATATGAACTTCCTTTTGTTTTTAATTGTGTGTGTGTGTGTGTGTGTGTATATATATATATATATATATATATATATGCTCTTAAGCTTATGGTGGTTCTCCATCCATTGAGCATCAATCATAATGAAGATAAATCCTTTCTGAAATTACGAAACAAATGAAAATGATA